GCTGGCAGCTGGCGTCTGCTTTGTCCGGCGAATCAAAGTTCCGGTCTTGATTGCGATTGGCTTGATGATGATCATGGCGTGGTGAGCTCTGTTTGGAAGGAAGGAAAATATAGAAAGGAGAATTTTGGGTTTTTTCACGAGAAAGTGACGGAAACGGAAAGTGGTGGTGAGGGACAGGTAAGAAGTGAGGAGGTGAAATGAATTGGGATGGGTTTTGACATTAAATGCTGAAACCAAGCCTATTAATTAGGAGAGAAGCCAACAACAAAGAGCCCGTTTAATTATTTTGACTCTTTTTCTTTTTTGAACCTACCCTTATATCTCTCCTTCTATCTCTCTCTCATCAAACTCTCTCATGCCTACTTCTTTTTCGGCTCTCTTGATTAATCATTTTTATTGCTGCTTTAATTTAACTCTAGAATGTTTCTCTCTCTGTTCTAGGAGCTAAGGTTCATTCTCTCTCCATGTCTCTCTCTGTCTCTCTGTCTCTTTCTCTCTCTAGAATTGAATACTAGTGTGACGATCTGAAATTATAAGTAAAGGGGTTATCTTGGCTCTCAATTGAGTTGAATTTAGTTCATTTTGGCACTAATTCTTGTTCTTTTGGTTTTCTGGCTTCTGGGTGCAGTTGTTTCTGAAGTGGGAAAGAGAAAGCTGCTGTTTTGTATACTACCAGATTGAAAAGGTATCGTCTTTTTAAGTTTTTTCCCCTTCTGGGATCTGATTTAGATCTTTTTATTCCCCAACTGTGTTTTTTGGTTTATAACTAGTTGCCCATCTGGGGTTCACCTTTGTAGATTGCAATTCTGGGTTTCTCCTTTTTCATTTATTTGTTTATCTTAATCCCATAGACTTGGATCTGATCGGTGTGTTTCCTGACAAATTGATGGTGGGTACTGGGAATCTTGTAAAAGGATGGTCTCATCTTATTGGACTTTTGATTTTTATTATTTTACTTTTTATTTGGCTGTTAAAAGTTTGTGGTGCCTCTTTAAAAAATGTTTCGACTTTTCCCTTTGTCTTTTTCTACTGTGAGAAGAACTGACTTTGGGACTCCATACTGTCTCCGAAGTTTTTCAGGACGGATTTCTGTCTCCCTCTTTTTTAGTTTAATATTGCTTTTTGTTGTTTTGGTTATTTTCCCCTT